ATGACACAGTTTTCGTGATATTTCTTCTAATCTAACGTAAACACTTTCTTTCTTTCTTTCTTCCCACTCACCAGGCAAACTACCTCGACCTGGTGTACCTCTGCGAGGAGACGCGCTCCCTCTGCGACCGGAACACCGACCCGAAGTACCGGGCGATTCTGCGGGCGCGCACCCTCGACCCGCTCACCGCGCGGCGGGTGAAGGAGATCGCCGCCCTGCGCGACTACATCACCACGCAGCTGCGCGAGCTGGAGAGCAAGTTTGACCAGGAGTGGGCGGAGTGGCTGCAGCGGAAGCGGATGGCCGCCGGAAAGGGTGGAAGCAGTGGCACAGGTGGCAGTGGCAGCAGCTTTCTCTCGCCCGGAGCCCGGGCCCGCTCGATCATCTCGCCGCCCACCTCGCCGCACCTCAACTTTATTGAGCGGCGGAAGAGCACCACCGCCTTGCGAGACAGTCCTGGAGGAGCAGAAAGAAGCAGCAGCAGCAGCAGCGAGCAGGAGGCCTACGTGAACAACGTCCTCGTGCGGATGCTGAACAACAACCAGCGGGTGATTGACGGCCTGAAGGCGCAGATTCGGGAGATGGCGCGGACCAATCCGAAGCTGGCCGCCCAGGCCAATGGACTGGTCAGCGGTGGTGGTCGGTCAGAAAAGCCTGGCACCACCACCACCGGAGTGAACGCCCTCTCGAAGATGTTCAGCGATTCGATGAGTCTGACGGGAGGTGGAAAGAAAGGTGCCGGCGGCCATGCCGTGGGCGCCAAGACCACCACCGTCACCTGTATGGAGCCCAAAAGACGGGCAGCCCTGAAGAGCTTCCTCGTGAACCGACCCTCGGTGCCGGTGCGCGTCTGCGGCCCGACCGCGCTGGCTGACCTAAAGTCGGGCGGCGCGGCGGCGGCCGACTTGAACAGCTCGCTCAACCGCTCGCGCTTTGTCTCCGTCCTCGAGAAGATCAAGGCGAGGGAGGAGCAGAAGAGGGCGGCGGCGGCGGCGGCGGCTGCTGCCACGGCTGCAGCATCGGCGGCGGCAAGTTCATCCTCTCGGGCAAAGACGCCCCAGCAGCAGCAGCAGCAGAATAAGATGCCTCCTCCGAAACTGACGCAGCAACATCAGCAGAAAGAGGTGGTGCCTCCTCTTTTCCCAAAACCACAGGAGCCACAGAATGTGGTGGTGACTCTTCCGAAACCGAAGCAGCAGCAGCAGCAGCAGAAAGAGATGCCTCTAACGAAGCCCCAACAGCAGCTGCAGCAGCAGAATGTGGTGGTGACGCTGCCGAAACCGCAGCAGCAGCAGCAGCAGCAGCAGCAGCAGCAGCCTTTGAAGGAGATGCCGCCTACCTCGAAACCGCAGTTATCCTCGCCCTTCAGCTTCACCAACAGCCTCAGTGCAGCCTTGCAGAACAGTTCTGCTGGCAGTGTTGGTGGTGGTGGTAGTCTCTTTGGCACTGCGGCGCCCAAGACTGGTGGAAGCCTTTTCGGCAGTCCAGCGCCAGCAGCAGCAGCCACTGCTTTACCTGCCTTTGGAGCATCGTCGGCCTTTGGTGGCGGCAGTAGTGGTTCGCTCTTTGGTCAGTCCTCGCAGAAGGAGGTGCAACTCCCGAAGCAACCACAGCAGCAGCAGCAGAATGAAGTTCTTTCTCTGAAACTGCCGCAGCAACAGCAGAATGAGGTGCCCACCTCAAAACCACAGCAGCCGCCGAATGAGGTGCCTGCATCGAAACCACAGCAGCAGCAGCCTTTGAATGATGAAGTGCCTTCCACGAAACCGCCACAGCCAAAGTTATCATCGTCGTTCAGCTTTAACAGCAGCCTCAGTGCAGCATTGCAGAACAATTCAGCTGGCGGTGGTGGTAGTCTCTTTGGCACAGCCTCAGCTGCTCCTTCTTCAGCCACCACAACCACCACAACAGCCAAGACGCCTTCTCTCTTTGGCGGAACGGGCAACAC